TAAATAAGCCAAACCAAAACTAGCTAAACCAGTCTGTAATGAATAGAAAACTGTCCACTGGTTACACTCAAAGCTCTTAGCTGTGGTTCCCTTTGTGGAGGTAAGTGGAATAAAGAATGACTAAAGGGCATACTTTTAAAAAATTATTTTATTGAACTCATATTGGTTTATAACATTGCGTAATTCCAGGTGTCTATTATTATATATCCGTTTCTGTATAGACTGCATCTTGCTCACTCCCAACGGTCTAGTTTTTATTCATCACCATATATATGCGCCCCTTTACCCCTTTCGCCCTCTCCTAACCCCCTTCCCCTCTACCCAACCCTTTTACTTTTTAATCTATATAACACTGTGTTGGAATTTCTTCTACAACAAGGAGTTATTCATGTAGTTGTTGTCTAAAAATGTTAAAAGACTTTAAAGAATGAATACAAAAAGGTTATCCATAGCCTAATTCCAACAGAGTAAAAAGTACGAAGTCAGAAGTAAGTTTTTAGAAAAAAATAGTTGGAGTTTTAACTTCATGATCCAGTCCCCCCTTTAATTAGGTAATATATAAATGAAACTGTTAAAAATTAAGTGAACAGAATCACATCAAGGAAAATCTGCACATCTATTTTACTTCCATTAGAAACATATCATCCATATAGAATTTTGGTCCACTTTCCTCTCCTTTACCTCTACCATTCAAACTTGAATACTTCAATTTTACTCAAGTAAAAGCAGAATCATTTATCTGACATGAGACCTAAATATTTCACATCATTAAAGTAATAAGATTTAACTGAATTAAGTGAGCTCTTTATTATTTCTCAGGAGTAGTAACTCATCTTTCCTACATGTTATTTCCCTTCACTTTTATTTATGTGAGTTACTAGGTAATGCATGTCTTTTTCCCACATCCAGTAATACGAGTGTGCATAAATGTTATTTATAACATCAGTAGCTGGATCCATCAACAATCTTCAATTCATGTTCAATTCCCATTATTATATGACATTTCCATAATACTTTCAGATGTTTTCGTCAATCTCACACTTTACAACATCACTTGTAAAAATTAAGGTGTTAATTAAAAAACGTTATTAACGTTCTAGACTAAATAATGCTGGGCCCACTCAGAGTGATGCTGTTGAGAGAGGTCCTTGGACAGCTACTGCTTCAATCTCAACACGGCCTCCTTTGGGCAAAGCAACAACCTGGTAAGCAGCTCTGGCAGGAAAACCACTCTTGAAATACTGTTTGTAGATTTCATTGACAGTATTGAAGTCATTTATGTCAGCCAGCAGAACAGTTGTTTTTACCACATTGGTGAAGTCACAGCCTGCAGCTTTCAGAATTTCACCCATGTTTGTAAGAGCTTGTTTAGCTTCTTCTGCCACCCCTCCTGGCACAAGCTGTCCACTTGAAGGGTCCATGCCTATCTGTCCTGAAATGTAAACAGTCTTGTCCACTAACACGGCTTGACTGTAGGGACCAATGGCCCCTGGGGCTTTCGCGGTGCTGATCACCTTTCTAATCAAGGACGACATGGCTAATCCTTTTCTCGAGATCCTTATGAGAGAACAACTCCGTACACTACCCCGACTCTCAAACAATATTTCTTATCTTCTCTACAAGACACCTTGGACCAGTCTTGTCAAATTCATAAATCATACAAATTTACATCTGCAAAAAAAGCACAGCAATGAGCAAGATCCAGTGTGCTACAATGAAATTTTAATATAAGAGTAAGCTAAATTTTGTCAAAATGTTAAATAATCATGCCATTAAATTATCTTTCAAAACTGTGAAACAAAGGTGTTGACTGATTCAAAATTATTATTGTAAAACTTAACTGATGCTGCAAAACTTAAGTGACAGGTATTGCTGGTCTTTATGAATAAACACAGAATATAGGACTGTGAAAACAATGCAAAGTTGTCCAAGATTCCCAGCAAAACAGCTCAATGTACTAATGAATTTCTTTCAACAATTTCTAAGCTACTCAAATACTGCGAATGCAGAGGCAGTTTCTTTGGAATAGCAGCCTCCTTTTTTAATTATTATAATTTAATAATTCTATAGTAATACACTAAGAGATGAAATGAAAACAGAATATGATGGGGTCTTTGCCCAGGAGGGTCACCGTACAAATTTCTGCTGAGCTGCAAATATAACTGAAAAACAATCATTTTCCTAAACAAAGAAGCACATAAAAAGGCAAAAAAAGACAATCACTGAAGAGCACCTTCAAAGCTCAATGAATTCACGTGAGCATCTTACATAAAAAGTTGCCCTAAAGGGTGACAAAGCAAAACAGAGAAGCTGGAGAAATTCTGCCACGGTAACAAATTCAGTATCCGTAAGCATCAAAACTGTGAGATGCTTGGGGTTGGCTCCGTGGCTGAGTGGTTAAGTTCGCGCGCTCCGCTGCAGGCGGCCCAGTGTTTCGTTGGTTCGAATCCTAGGCGCGGACATGACACTGCTCATCAAACCACGCTGAGGCGGCGTCCCACATACCACAACTAGAAGGACCCACAACCAAGAATATACAACTATGTACCGGGGGGGCTTTGGGGAGAAAAAGGAAAAAATAAAATCTTTTAAAAAAAAAAAACTGTGAGATGCTTATGTTGCATTTGGCCTAGGAAAGATCTGAGTGAAAATATACAACACTGCTTTTAGACAAACGACTTATTCATGCGAAACAGGCACTAAATCCACATAAAATGCCGCAAGATTATTCCACAGCAATCCTGTTCATCTTATTTCTATGAAGTTTCAAAGTACCATATACAGGTTTAAATAAAATATCCAACTTTAAACTGCATGGAAAATAAACATCTCATTATTTTCTCTAAATTGAATAATCGAAAAGGTACACTGACAGCTAAATAATAACTATGAAGACACTCAGGGTTCCTTGGCCACCTCCTTCCAAATACTTCTGCAAGTGTATGTATACAAAGGCCAAAGAAAAACTTTGACTCAATGAATAAGTTATATCCTGAAACAAAAATATTCCATAATACTAATATCCAGATTATGTAAATTAGGCTAGACTCTGAGAGTGGCCTGTTTCCGATTATATATAAAACATGAGCACGATTTATATCAAGAAGCCACAAAGACCTAAGATTAGAAAGGTTTCATTTACTAAATTCGACTTTTCAGGCTCAAGTGTGGCTCACAGATGAAGGCTGAAAACCTCCCCTGAGGACTTTTATACAGCAGGCAAGGGAGCCTGCTGCTTAAGCCAAGAGTCTTGAGTGCATTTTTGCCCTGAACAGGTGATAATTAGCCTAATTAACAGGCTAGATCCTCGTTAACTAGTTGGAAAAGAAATTTAACCTCACTCATGCCAAAGCCTGTCATTTTAAAACCCCTTAATATATCATTCAGATTCTAAAAGCTGAGAAATATATTTTCTGACCCTTTCAATTCAATCCAAAAGTTGAAAAGCTTTGTGTCAAATTTACTTCTGGGAGGAGTATTAAGCAAAATATTAATCCCAGGTTCCTTAGTTTACTCAGAACCAAGAGAATGACTCATTCTAAAGAAAAACATTCAGGGATTACAAGGGCTATGCCCTCAAAGATTTGAATTCATCCTTCAAAATCTCATTCCCATGAAAGTTTTCTTTGTCAGAGACCATAAACTCTGGCCTACCCAAAACCATCCTATTAAGTTTGGTTAGAATCTTCCCCACTCCAGTGCATGTGCTGTATCCAGTACTCACCAGCACAACAGTATCTTAGATCAAGGGTTGGGAAAGGCTCTGTGTAAAGGACAGTAAATATTTTCTACTTGGTGGGCCACCAAGTCTTTGATGCAACTAGTCAACTCTGCCTTTGCCGCACACAAGTAGCCACAGCCAGTAAACAAATGAGTGTGGCTGTGTTCCAATAAAACTTTATATACAAAAACAGGCACTGGGCCTGATCTAGCCTGCAGGCCATAGTTTGCAATCCCTGGCTTAGCTGGTCAGTCACGTCCTTCCACAAAAGCACCCTGATCCACACAGGGTAAAAGGACTGAAGTCGACACTGCTTTCAAACAAAGGTCCACAAAGCCCCCTTCTCAGGGTCTGAGAAGCTGGTTTAGTCCTGAAATAGTTCATGTTTCCTGCAGGGTTTTAAAGCGCCAGCATGAGAAGAACAGGTGGAAGGAATTATACTGCATATGAGACCCATTCCAGTCGCAGGCTGCCCTGTCCTTTTCAAACCACCCCCTTTCAAGTGTATCGTAGAGCTGGAGGGCTTGGAAAGTTGAAACAATTTTAACTAGCCATAGAAGTCAAGTCCTGGAGAACAAGACATATATTAAATTGCCACAATCCTCTAGTCTGGACTAAATGAAATTTTATCGCTTCAGGTTAGGTAAGAAAACTCCGGATTTATGTAAGGAAGGTTAAAATAGCAGTTACAAATAAAGGACTAATATTACTGCTTAAAGACCATATAGAGAGAATTTCTTTTAAATCATTGCTCTTACTGATATAAATAATTTGAGCTAAAACAGCAAAATGCATTTCAAACCCCATTTACAACTTCATCCCAGATACCTTGACTAATGTTAAGTCTTTGGACATTTCAACACAAACCTAACAATCTTCAAATTATAATAGTTCAGCTACTTCTATATCAATTGATCAATTAAAAAATGTATTGAAACCAATGTTAGTCTAGCAATAATCCTTGCTATGTACAAAACTATAAAATGAAAGACACATATGCCTCCCCAAAAGGAGCCTATGACTCCAGGATCAACCCTGATGTCAGTGAAATAGAACACAAAAGCACCACACTATGGTGGACTTCTTAAAAAAGCTTTAAAAGATGTTTAGAAAAAACATCCATGAATAAAGACTGAAATAGTCGGAAAAAGCTTCACAAACGAGGTGGGCCTTCAAGAGAGCCTGACAGGACAGAGCCGACCTAAATAACGGAGGTAGCAGGCAACGACAAGCTTGGACGCAGAGACAGGCAGAGGCGGGTCAGGTGGTGCGTATGAGCAGGGAGCCAGTCATCGTAACTGGGGGTAGGGAGGTGGGGAGCATGCTGCATAGAAGGAAGAAATAAAGTTGTATAATTTAAATAGTCACATTAAAATGGCCCTGATAATCAGATAGAGGAATTTGGCTTTGATATGACAAAAGGAACCACCAGCCCATTCTTTGTTTTCTTTTCCCCCTTTTTCTCTCTCTTCAGTGCTCACTTTTCACAATTATTTGATTATAATTTTCTAAGGAGCCAAATGTGGCTTTATCATTCATGAGTGCCCATGATCACACAGATAGAGTATGCATGCAAGCCACAAATAGGCACAAGTCTGGAAAAAACCTACCATAACAATGTCCACATCTGAGATTTATGATGAGCTCTTTTATATTTCGCCAAATAACACACAACCTTCCAGAAACATGTTGGCTCTAACAAAGATTGCTATGCTTCAAGCTATATACCTATAGATGCTATAAAAACATTATTTCAGAGCTGAGTACCTCAGACTAGATCATTTACATGTCAATGGAAAAACGTTTTACTAAGTTTTCAGATGACTCTCATCAGTTACAGTATTAGAATTGATTAACAAATATAAATAAGATAGATTTTACCAATGAGACCAAAAACAGGCTTACAAAAACAAGTAAAGCATTAATAAAAAAAAAATCAACTACAAAATCAACTGGTTATTTTCCTTTAAATTTTAATATATTAAAATTAAACACAACTGATATATTAATGGAAGCTGACAATGAACAAAAACTTGTCCCACTTCAGACTTGTCATAGTCCCACTCATCAAGAAACCATGATTTGTACAAAATTTATAAACGTAATAGTAATGCCTTTATATTACACTGTTATGATATTATGCCAAGAAAATGTTTCATTAACATTACTGTATAAAATTTTACTAGGACAAATATATATTATAGAAAAACATCATACATCTGTACAGAATAGATGATTCCAATCCCCTTTGCTAATAAAGCTGATAGTTTCATATGGACAATATTGCTCAGTTCCTGGTACGCCATGGGCTCAGAAATAATATTTGGGGTCAGATACTCATGGTGCTGAAACAAGAGAAGCTAATAAGTGTCTGGCCTTGGGCAGCCTCTCTGAGCCTCAGTAGGACCATGTAATTTTTATTCCTGGTGTGTATTTATGTCAATATTTCTAAAAATACTGGGCACAGGACATCTGCTCATTTTGCATCACGGTCTAGATTACTGGTGCCCTATAAATAGTAAATCAAGAGAATTATCTATTATTTCACAGCTGTTTAAAACAGCAACAATAAGAAAGCCATAGTTTCCTACTTTGATTCCTTGCCAGCAATCCCTGCCAGCTCCAACTCTCCAATAAAGACCTATCAGCGTACTTTAAAGAGTAGTTGTTTCCTCAACAAAATTAATAAGCTGAAGACAATATGACTGATCATAAGTAGTGCCTGGGTTACACCTCTAATATAGGAGGTTTAAGTCTCTTAAAGCCCTGTTAGAACCAGTAACTGACATGAGTGTATTTAACTCTCTGACCTTGAGCACTAGTTAAGACAGTAGTAAACCATTAAATGGATGGATAGGCTGTCGGGAAGTTGAGTTCTGCAGATCAGAGCTGCTCACATTTTAATTCATCATTAGTGAGTCAGTCTTAATGAGAACATGATTAAAATGTATTTACATTGTCATTTAGAGCAAGAACATTTTCACGTGAAGATGTGTCAAAGGTCTATTTGTGTAATTATAAATGAATTATGTGTGTGACTCAATTGTTATTGCCCTTTGCACCGACAGCTTTGGTCAGCTCATGCAGCAGACTGATAGAAATCATGGAAGCAAAAAGGGACGTCTGTATGCTGCAAGAAGGCAAGAAAAAATTGCTGGCTCTGCTTTCTTCAGTGTCCAGCACAGCTCTATGCTCAGCAGTTAGCTTAAAAAATACCTTAAAACTGAGATCTATGAGCAAAGAATCTGATCATGGCAGTTAAAGAAGAAAAAGAGGTAAAGTACCTCATTCGTTCATTCTCCTACTTAAAAGCAGCTGTTTTGTGCCAGAGACCATCCAAGGTCCTGAGATACTAGGATAAAATAAAAGATAATATCCCTGTCCTCGAAGAATTTAGCCTATGGGAGAGGGAGCCAGGTAAATAAGCAGTTACAGACAATAAGTTAAGTACTACAAAGCAGAGCTATGGACTGGGAGTACAGAAAAGGGAAAAAAGAAGGGAATTCTTATAAATTGAGCATCTGCCACAGAAAAGGTGCTATACATCTGCAAGCCAAATGTTAACTGGCTACCCTTTAACCGTTGGATTAATTGAGTTTGAACTCTCACAAATCCCTGGCCTGTTAGAATCCAAAGCCTTCCTCAGTTCCCAAGGGTTTACCATCATCTGCTTCTCAACCTCTGGGCTCCTGTGTCATGCATGCTGCCTTTGTCCCATGTCACATGGATCCCCGCAGGAAACTCAGCGTCTATTCTGAAATTTCAGCAAGATTTCACAGTGGGGGACAGAGGAAGGCAGAGTTGCTTCCCACATTACTTACAAACAATCAAATGGAGAACAACCGTAATTCAAATACCCTCCCTGGTTCCCATCACTAGGAGTCTCTCTTACCTAACCCAGTCCCAGCATCCCTCCATATTCTCATTTTTCTCTCTCCTCACCCTTCCCTCTCAAACTGCCTCCAAAATGCCAAATTTTTCTCCCTCTATAACACTTTAACACCAAGCAATACCCAAGGTCTTGAGAGGCTCACTCAAGTTTTAATAGGGTGTTTTTCCAAACAAAGACTAAGAGGAATTCTGATGCAAGCAACCAAGATAATATTTCTCTACCTCATTAGCCATATATTATTTCATTCAAGTTTTGCAACTACCCTTGGACATATCGTTGAACAGATGGGGAAACTCAGTTCATCTAAGACAACACTAACTCTATCTCGTACATTAATAATGCACACAAGGCACTCAGCATTTAGAAGACAGTAATAAACACTTATAATAAATGTTAGCCATTATTATTTGTATCACTATGAGATTTAGTTGTTTTGTCTTTTTTCTAGCTACGTTTACTACCTAGGTAATATCATCCAATCTTTTGACTTTATTAAATACCACCTATATGCTGACAAATCCCAAATGTATCTCCAGCCTTGACTAATGCTTCTGAACTCATCTCATATACCAAACTGCTTATTTGACCTCTCCACCGGATATCTAATAGGCATATCAAACTGGATATAATCAAAACTGTAACAATTCACTGCTACCACTTGGGCTAAATCACCAACACCTGTTGACTGGATTATTGCAATAGACTCCTGATTTCATTGCTTCCACTCCACGTTCCATCACAGTCTATTCTCATCACAAGCAACTCAGATCATGTCTTTCCTTGGCTCAAATTCCAACGGTTTTCCATCTGCCTCAGAGTAAAAGTGAAAGCTCTCAAAATGGTCTTCAATGCCCCATTACATTTGCTCTCCCCCACCACCATCACCTCTTTGACCTCATCTTTTACCATCTTCTTAGTCTCTCCACAATGGCCTCTGGCTGTTTCTCAAACACGTTCATCTGTCTCAAGACCTTTGCGCTTGAGATTCCTTCTGTCTCGTACATTTTTCCCAGAGAATGTTATGGTTCTCAATCCCTCACTTTTTTTAGGTCTCTGCATAAATCCACCCCATATAAACAGCAATCCCCTGGGGCTGGCCCTGTGGAGTAGTGTTTAAGTTGGGTGTGCTCCACTTTGGCAACCCAGGTTCACAAGCTCTGATCCTGGGCATGGACCTACACCCTAGTCAGCCATGCTGTGGCAGAGACCCACATTCAAAATACAGGAAGATTAGCAAAGATGTTAGCTCAGAGAGAATCTTCCTCGGGGAAAAATAAAAAAATCAATGCCCGTCTCCACTTTGTTTAATACTTCCCTTATTCTGCTTATCTTTCTTCATAGCACTTATCATCATGTGCCATATTACATATGTGTATATGTATATACAAATGATATATAATATGTATGTATATGGTGCCAAAATGAAAGCACCACGAGGACAAAGGCTTTGCCTGTTTTATTCATTGTTGTATGCATGACCCCTAGAACAATGTCTGACATGTACTAGGTACTCAACAAATATTTGTGGAATGACAAATGAATTTAATCATTTAATCAAAATTTAACGAAGGCAACAGTCTCAAGAAGGAAGTGTTCACCACTACCTGATGTGAACAGAGGTCAAGATAAATATTGAAAAGAGTTCACTGTATTTGTCAACTAGCCTGTCACTGGGATAGAGGCCTTGAGTGTTGGGGGATAGAGGCCAACAGCTTTGGGTTGACAGTGACCAGAAAGTGGGAAAGGGAGACATTAAGAATAGTACTCTCTTGAAAATGGATAGTGGTGATGGTTGCACAATATCATGAACGTAAAAATAGTAATTCATTTTGGCATGCTCTATTTTTTAAATATGGCATAAAGCAAAACATACTTTCTTTTAACTTTCATATTATCACCTCATTCCATTAAATGATTATTCTGCCAACAAGTATTTATACTTGGATGCCATCAATTATAGTTATTAAAATGTTTTTCCTCAGTAATTCCCCTGTGGATAGTGTCTTAGGTCAGGTTCCCTGGAAACCAGACTGAGGCAGATTTGCATGCAGGTAGTTTGTTGGGAAGTGCTCTTAGGAACAACAACTGTAACAGAGGGAGAGAAGCAGGACTGGACAGAGAGAAGCTGGACTGCAAGGAAGCTGCAACAAAGGCCTGGAGCTCTGGAGCTGAAATGGTCCTTTAGAGTTGTCCCAAACTGAGGCAAGGGAGCTGGGTCTTTCTACCTTGCATCAACAAATCACTGCATGCCAGCCAGCCTCCGGGGGGGAGCGTAACCCTAGGTGAGGCAGCTCCTTTCAGCCGAGGGTTATTTTTAGGGAGAGATTTGGCCATGAGTGGTCCTAGGCAACTCTCCCGGCAGCTGAGGGAAATGAGCATTGTGGTCCTGAAGAGGGCAAGCTGGGCCACACACTCTAACATCCACTATAGTTAAGACAGACAATAAAGGTGCTAGTCCCTTATCATTTTTTTTAAAGGATTTTACACCTGAGAATAACATGATGCAAGATATATACTGAAAGAAGTTTCGTATGTAAAGCTTCCTGTATGGGGCCTATACAAAGGGCCAAGAAACACCAATTTTGCTTATTATTAGTTGACTACTTCCTCACTGACAAATTTGATCCCAAACTGCCTGTTCATGAATCCTATATATGTACAACTGCTCAGGTAAGGCACTACAAATCTAAAGAATTCAGATTTGATGATATATAATTGAGTCTTTATTCAACACCTCAAGACGATGTGCAGTCTAAAAGAAATTTTCCTAAATGGAAGTAAAAGCTGATTACAGAAGCCTCAACTGGAGATTAAAAGAGTAACTCCTTTTTCTTTGCAGACTTCAGTCTTCTAAAGCTTGCTTTGCATATTAAAACTCTCTTTTTAATGTCAAAAATTACTACAGACAACTCCTGACATGATGGTGGTTGAACCACGATTCAATATACAAACAATGTCTGGCAGACCTAGGTTTACAGACTGCATGTCAGTCTCCCACGAGTCTGAGGTCCCAAAGGAGGAACTAGTGCCTTGAAGCGTCTAAGAATCCTTCATCTGCTGCCCCACCGACTGACCCTTCTCACTCAAACTGCCCTGCAGCAACTGTTCGATCCAACATCTTCATTTGCGATCCTAGTCTCCCTTGAGCTGTACTTTAAATTTATCAGGTTTTTCAACTGTCTCACAGATCTATGTCTAATATTCCTAATCAGATTCGATTTCCCAAAGACAGAGACTAGGTATTTTACCTTTTTATATTCCTTATGAAACTTCTTTAGTAGGTACTTAATAAAGGTGCATTAACTATTGAATTATTAATAAACAATTATAGAATAACAGAAGTATGTCTTTAATGTTTCAAATTTAAGAATATACACAAAACTTTAAACAACTCAAACCGTTTTCCTTATTGTATCAAAACTATGATACATTTGCAACAACCTATAGTATAATTAAAATGATTCTATTAGTTTTCAAAAATTACATTTAATTACTATGTTAATATTTTTATAAAGGAGAGTAAGGGCATGTCATAAAGTAACCTCTCATTATATAGCAGTAGTTTGATTGGTTATATTCTGAAAAAAGAATGACACATTTTCTCTTATTCTTTCAAGAAAAGGATCTGTAAGACTTAAATGATCTCCAGAAAAATGCTTCCATTGCTTCAGCTGTGCCATGGAGAGAGGTTTCAGGGAGTGAGACTTCTGTGGATGTGGACCAAGCTGACAACTTCTAGAGATAGGGAATTTTTCCAATGCATCACCTGAAATAAGTAAAACAATGAGAAACTCCTTAGACCAATTAATACTGTACTATATACAATACTTTTTTTACTTTATAAGTTTATGTGATTTACTACATTTGATCACTATAGTTCAAGTTAAAGTAATTCAATTAATTCATTCCTTCTACAAATATTTATAAATTATTTACTACATGCTGATTTAAGCACTGGGGACAAGAATGATGAACAAAAATAGGCATGGTCTCTGATTTCAAGGACCTCATGGTCTTGTGGGAGAGATACATTAAATGAATAATCATCCAGAGATGTATTACAGGTCTACAATTCCTATCTAAAGCCTTTGAGGCCAGATATGTTTCCAAATTCAGAATATAACTGGAACAATCTGGGACAGCACTCCATAATTAAACTCATTATTATTCTGCAACAATTCAAATGAACAGTCTTATGAAATAGGTTAAAGATTATTGATAAGTTCACATCAATTCAGCTAAGGTTTCTGCCACCAAATAAGTTTGTTGCAATTTTATGAAAAAAAAAAAAAACTTTTGGTCTTTCAAACTTTCTGGATTTCAAAATTGAAGATAAGGGACTGTCAAGCTGTATTACAAACAGAGGTTAAGAGTACGAAGTTAAGATACAGGGGACTATGAGAACATATAACAAGAGAAGCTGACCTGTTTTATTAAGATCTGAAGGATGAGAAGGCAAGAACTAGATGGTGAAGAGAGGCACAGCTTTCCAGGAGGACTTACAAAGGCTGTGAAAGAGAAGAGACATTTGGCACAGTTGAGGAACTGATAGGAGCCTAATGCAATTAGAGCAAAGGCCAAGAATAATGCAAGAAGAGAAGTTGAGTAATGTTAGGTGAAGCACCCTTTCAAGAGCTAAATTATGCAAAACACTGTAAGCAAATCAAGAATAGCAGAGGATGGTAGTTATCTACTAAATCCATTTCCCTTTCCTCCAGGACATTTAGCCACATTTCCCAGCCTCCGTTACAGTTAGATGCAGCTCAGCAACAATCTTCCTCCCAAAAAAAAAAAGAATTCTTAAAATTTTTTTTTCTGTTTTTTTTTTTTGGTGAGGGAGATTTGCCCTGAGCTAACATCTGTGCCAATCTTCCTCTATTTTGGATGTGGGTTGCCTCCACAGCATGGCTGACAGTGGAGTAAGTCCGCACCCAGGATCTGAACCAGCAAACCTGGGCTGCCAAAGCAGAGCATGTGGAACTTTAACCACTTGGCCACAGGGCCAGCTTATATTCTTTTTAAATTTTATCACAACTAAAAAAAATTAAGTCTTTCCTCAGTATCATCAAAATCCTGTCAATGTTCAACATCATTGACGTTTTAAGAGAAGAGATGACAAGAATGCTTTGAGAATCCAGACAACAGTAGAATGACACCCTGAAAGTACAGACCAAAAAAAAGCCTATCAACTAGAATTGTACATCCAGCAAAGACAGCATTTCAGAGAAAGAAAAAACACGTAAACTTTGAAAAATCAAAGATTGACAGAGTTAACCACTAACAGGCCCTTGTTGGAAAAAAAAAACAGAACACAAAAAGACAGTAGAAACAAACCAAAATATGTCAATGATTATAATAAAGGTTAATAGACTAAATGCTCTAGTTAAAAGAGAACACCAGACTGGATAAAAAAGCCAGAGTAATATATTAATTTAAGACAAAATGAAAGCAAAAGGCATTTAGAGATAAAGTAATCACTACATCATAATAAAATAAACAAGAAAAAAAAACTTCACAAAGAAGATACAAAATATATAAAGCCAAAATTGGTTAACAGCAAGAATAAGAAGAAACTGACAAATTCATTGTCATATTGCAAGATTTTAACGTATTTCTTTCAATAACAGATATGTGTAACAAAGAGGTTAGGTTATTAATAGAAAAATAGGCAAATGATATGAGCAAATGGTTCACATAAAGAAATATAGTTCTTAAACATAGGAAAATATACTCAATTTCAACTTCACTCATAAGAGAAAACTAGACCAACATATTAATTTTTTACTATCAGACTGGCAAAAATCCAAACATTTGATAATCTACTAAACAGGCAAAGCTGTGAGGAAATAGCCATTTTAGCATAATATTAGTGGGGTATATATGATACAGCCCTCAATGGAGGGCATTTTAGCAATGTCTATCAAAACTACAAATGCACATATTCTCTGACCCAGTAACACTGATAATTTACCTTATAGATATATTTGAACATTGGGGAAAGATGTATGACTAAAGATGTACACTGACTGGAAAGAATCTAACTGTACATCGTGGGGTCAAATAAATTATGGAATATCCATACAATGGAGGATTATATAGCTGAGGGAAAAAAGAACGAGGAAACTCTTTCTATAACGATATGGAAAGATCTGAAGATACACTATAAAGTGAAGAAGGTACAGAACTATACATATGCTACAATACCCTTTATTGGGGGGGAAAACTGGGCAAGAATATATATTCGGAGTTCCTTGCACATGCATAAAAATACATCTAGAAGGATACACAAAAAACTAATAATGGTTTCTTAGGGGATAGTAGGGCTAGAAATTAGGCAGATGAGGGTATGGTGGGAAGAAGAGTTTTCACTATATGTATTCTATATTTTTAAATAGTTGAGCCATGTAAATATATTACGAATTTATAAGTTAAATTAGTAAATTTTTAAATCTGTAAAATAAGAAAAAATTGATTTGGTAACAGAAAATTTGGCTAACATAGCAGAACTCTAAGTAATTAAGAGAATATACATGATTTTCATGCACAAAAGAAACATTTACAAAGTGACCACATCCCAGGCCACACATCAGGTCTCTATAGTTACCAAAGAAACAGTATCATGCAGACCACATTTCTGACTACAGCACAGTAGCCAGAATTCAATAACAAAAACGAAAATACATTTTAAAAGATACTTCTAAATATCTCGTGAATTAAAGAAGAAATCACAATGGAAAATACAAAATATTCACAGCTGAATAATAAAAAGACTGTATATCAAAGTTACGAGCTTAAAGGAAAATTCATAGCCTTAAATATTTTTAGAAAAGAAGACTGAAAATGTTAAGCTAAGCATTCAACTTGAAAAATAAGAAAAAGAACATTAGATAAATACAAGGAAAGAGTAAGAGAAGGATGAGAGCAGAAATTAATAAAATGGAAAAAACATAACAGAGAGGATGAAATGTTGATTTATATAAAATATAAATTCTTCCATGTCAGTCTTGTACAGTCTAACATCTTAAACCCATCTCAGTGCAGTTTATCAAGTGACTTCCAACTACTGGACATTGGTTGCTCCAGTCCCAGTCCTGACCCAGTTCCTGTCTGAGTGGTGCTAACTCCGGGGGGTTGATGTTGTCAGCTCCCTTGAGCAGTACGAGCAGTTCATCAAGTGCTGAGAGGTACGGTGGCCACGCTAACTGCCTTAGAAAGCATGACCCCATCATGAATGAGGTCTATGCAAAATAAACAGACAGTAGGATTATTCTGTCAAGTGTATGCTAAAAACAGAAATAAGGATTAAAAACATTTTTCTAATTCTAAAGCCATTATACTAGGACTTGAAAGATTTTCCCAAATAAGTTAAATTTTTCACAACTGATTTCAGAAATAAGCAGCTAAGTTGAGAGAACTAATGAGGTTCTAATTAATATTTTCTCAAATATCCATCAGACAGTTGTTCTATGACCTGAGGTAAAAAGAAAACTAACGCATGCAAATGAAAAATATTTTAGTTTTTCTGTATTTAAATATTTTCAACTGGTAAAGAGAGACAAATTAACTTTACCCTTGTAACAGAATTATACAACTAACCTGTATGATCTTTTCCTCCTGTACATTCACAGTCAAGCAGGTCATGAGTAACACAATGTGAACTTTCATGTAATGTGAATAAATTCTTAAGTTCCTCTACCGAAAACTGAGTATGTTCAGATGTCTTGGTTAGGTCTACAACTGCCCCAGAAAGATCTTGCTTACTGATCTGCCTTTGATAGATCTTTTCTTCTATTGTACCTGAAGAGAAAAGATTCATTAGATCTCCCTCAGATCTTTATGTCTGTTATTTTCATAGGATAAAACATGTTTATTAGCATACTAGTTAACAAAATAGCAATATTTTTGATATTGAAGCACAGATTAACAAAAAAAACTTTTAATTATTCAAAAGAAATACATTTTTTGTCACACTGAAGGGTTATTACCTGTGGTTAGAAGTCTGTAAATATGTACAGGATGTTTCTGACCATCTCTCCATACTCTAGACATTGCCTATAGCAAATAAATGAGAATTCTGAGAGTACAGTAAAAACTAATAGCTCTTTCCACATAAGCAATTTGCATTAATATATTCAAGATTAAGAAGTCTAGATTTTACTTATAGCTTTAAAAAATAAAGTGGAGGCATGTCCAAGCATTCCCCACTTCATATCTTTTTCCTGGGAAGAAAGGGATGGATGAAGACTCACTGTGGTATTGTAAAATAACTGCCACGCAACTGTGAGAGAGTCTATGTGCATCAAAGAATGGGACAGTGAGTTTGGACAGCAAGAATGCAAAGAACCAAGTATAGCATGGGCATAGAGGGTTTATTCCCAATCTAAGTAGCTAATGATTCACCCCTAAAGAATCCCTAGGATACCAGCAATCAAGTCAGGCTCTAGGTAGATCCCTGTGGTTTCAGAATTTATTGATGATACTGTACAGTAAAAGGTTGATGTTCAAAGCCTGCACATTCCAAAGAATTGTCTGGTCTTCAACCAAGTCCTGGAAAATAAACTCTAAGCTCTTGGAATATCCTGCCTTATAAGAACATCTTAGTTTACCTGGGGCTTTGGGCCACACCCGATAGCTTATGGTAACAATGTGATTTTGGGAGGGCCTTGGGCCCATTTGACCTCTGGAGGGGTTGGAGACTGAGCAACTAGTCAGTTGCTTGAGTACTCCATATCTACATGACCAACCTCCAAGAAAAACTCTGGACGCCAAGGCTCAAGTGAACTTCTCTGGTTGACAATATTCCATATGTGTTGTCTCTCATCAATGCTGGGAGAATTAAGTGTTATCCATACAACTCCAGAGTGAGAAGACAACTGGAAGCTTGTGTCTGGTCTCTTCTGGACTCCGCCCTATGTGCCTTTTTTACCTTTGCTGATTTTAGTCTGTATCTGTCCACTGTAATAAACTGTAACTAGGAGCATAGCTGTTTTCCTCAGTTCTGTGAGTCCTTCCAGTGAATCAACAAACCTGAGGGTTGTCTTCAAGTCCCCTAACACAGATACCAAATGAGATGCAAATCTATAGGTAGGAATCTCAACACACCTAAAGATGGACTACATTCTGAAGAAAACCAAAGGCTTCTTCTGAAATATTTTCTTAAATAAGCTAATATTACATCTTTACCATACCTTGCACAAACAGTGATCATAGCATCTATAACACTTTTTTGTCTTCCCCTGATTGTCATGAACACCCTGAAGGCACATCTGTGCAGTGAATTAGAGCTTGGAGACGCAGAGATTTGGGTTTGAATCCTTGCTCTGCCTCTTACAAGCTAATATGATCTAGAACAAGCTTCCATATATTCATCTGAAAAATAGGGTTAATAATATCCACACCTGTAGGACTACTGCCAAGATTAAATAGACGTAAAGCACTTAGCAGAGTGCTTGATACAAAATAAGGGCTCAATATGAAACATCATCATCATCTTCATATCCCCAGAAGGCACTGTATCCCCAATAGGCATTCTATAATGTTTACTTAATGCATAAATAGTCCTACCTGGATATCAGTGGCTGGATTCCAATCAATATCATAGAGAATTAAGTGAGATCCTCCAATAAGGTTAAGTCCCACACCACCAGCTTTTGAGCTTAACAAAAAAATAAAATCAGAAGAGTATTTACTATTAAAGCTATCAACAATTTGCTGCCTTTGAGAGACTGGTGTTTGTCCATCAAGTCTTGTATAAGCATATCCATGACGCTTGCATACTTCTTGTAAAATATTCAAGGTTTGTGTGTAGTTGGATACCAACACCACCCTGTCAATCAAAAAGAAAGATTTTTTATATACAACTTAAAAGCAATATTAGATTTTTTTTAATTGAAGGAAAATACCACAATAATATTATCACTTATATTTACAAAACATGCAACAATGACCTTGTACAATTAAAACACAGGTTCTCCTTCAAATTCAATTTTATAGTCAATATCTAAGAGATTTCCAGTATTAAGATAGTGGAGTAAAGACCTTTCTGCTTTCTTTACCTCTCTGAATTCACACTGAAAACAGCAGGAGAATGAGAAACAGAAATACAAACTCTATCTTCAATAAAACAAGGAGACATTCATATGTGAAAACAAGGAGTTATGGAATGGTGAACTGCTTATGAGTACAGAGAAAGTGAAAGCCAAGTGCCCAAAGAGGGAGATTCCAATAAGAAACAGTGCAGGTTCATTCACATCGTAGAATCTTGTTAAAGCCTCTCAGAAGTAAGGAGTTTAGACTGGAGCTATTGCAAGAGCACTGGTAAACAGAACCCAGGCCCTCCTCCTCTATAACCAGTGGACTTTTCTTTCTCAACTAGAATGTTTATGCTCTGGAGAAAGTAAACTAAAGAAACTTAACCAGGGCACTCCAGAAGGCAGGGATACAGTGACAAATCAAAATGAAAGTCTGGGGGCCAGGCCGGTGGCGCAGCGGTTAAGTTCGCACGTTACACTTCGGTGGCCCAGGGTTCGCCAGTTCGGATCCCGGGTGCGGACATGGCACCACTTGGTAAAGCCATGCTGTGGTAGGCATCCCACATATAAAGTAGAGGAAGATGGGCATGGATATTAGCTCAGGGCCAGCAAAACGAGGAGGATTGGCAGCAGTTAGCTCAGGGCTAATCTTCCTCAAAAAAAAAAACCCACAAAATGAAAGTCTGCATACCGGATGGTAAGATCTCAGTCCCTTTTTCTGCCAACTCATGTAATACCAGCAGGTAGGCATCCCTCTCACATCCTATCCCAAGAAAGATATTATTGGAAGAGTCATCTCTGGAATAATTTGAATGACCCCAGAGAAAAGGTCCACAGATAGGGAGTCCCCAGATAAAAAAGCCAGCTCGTTGTCTCATTACCCAGTGAGGGCCACCAGTCAATAAGCCCTGTCCATGCACACAGAGTGTGCCTTACTCACTGCCTCACTCTTAAATACGCATGGACACCAAGGATCACCAGCTTTTTGAGGTGAGCCTCCAACATGAAAATAGAAACCCAAACAAAAAAACAGAAAAGAAGAAACCTGAATAAAACAAAGCAACCAAGGAAACAGAAGATGACTTTAAGAAAATTAATATCCTCAAATAAGAGATAGCATTCATAGGAAGAGTAGGCAATAAAAAAGAACAATCAAGAAGAAGAAAAATATCTTACAAATTTAAAATGATAGCCAAAATAAACATTTAATAGGGGATATGGAGTATAATAATACGAGAGTTTGCCAGGAAATAGATTAAGAAGGAAAAATGATGAGCAATAGGAAAAAAAGAAACCAAAGGAATGAGAGAATCGATCCATGAGGCTCAACATCTGACTGACAGAAATTCCAAAGAAAACAAGAGAAAGAAATTGTTTTGAGAGAGAGAAAAATTTCCCAGACATGGGGTCTTCAGATTAAAAGGACCTACTAAAACATTCCCAGCATGATAAATGAAAACATGATCCATATTAAGGCACATCAAGATTATAATTCAAAAGGTAAGGAATGAAGAAAGGTTGCTAGAGCTTTCATGAAGAAAAAATAAGTTACATGCAAAGAACGGAAATCAGAAAGACATGAGACTTCTCAAAAGCAACTCTGAAAGTTAGAAGACATATAAAGCAATCCCTTCAAAACTCTAAGAGAATACTGTTTCAATTTAGAATTTTATAACTATGCAAGTTGTCAGTCAAGTGCCAGGGTAGAATAAAGACAGTTTCAGACAAGCAAGAAGTCAAAAAGATTTACCTCCCATCTTCTCTTTCTTAGGAAGTTACTGTAGGCAGTGCTATAGCAAAATGTGAAAGCCAGAAACAGGAGATTCAACACAGAAGAGAAGAAAAAGGAATTTCTAGGTAATGGTTATACAAAGTCCCAGGATGACAGCCATGTAACAAGAATTAGAGAACAATCAGTTCAAATTGTAACAGGAGGGCAGAAGACTCCAAAAGAGAAGGCAAAGAAAATACAAACACACTTAAAGACTGATAGGAAAAATGTACTGAAAGTTATAGGAAGACTTTGTAATATTCATAAAGAACAAAGCAATGAGAGGAAGGGTAAAAAAGCAATCAATACCTCAAAGAGGGGGAAAAGTTGTTCAAGAAAGGAAATGTAATCATGGCAAGATATCTGACTTAGCAGTGGACAACAATTTGTCATAATAACAGAAGTATTAAATATTAATTTAACCAGAATTCAGTGTAACTCTCTTGGAAGGATGGAAAGTGAGGGGAGATAGAAGAGTGCTAAGTTCTCATGAATCATAAAAGAAAGTCATTAGATAATGTCAAAAATGGATGAGATGAGTGATGTCAACAAGATGGACTAGAAAGCGCCAGGTCCACTATGGAAACATTAAATAAACAACTGACAACTGACTAAAATAACTTATAGGAGCTCTGGAAATTAGTCAAAGATTTAGCAAACAAGCAAATGCTCAATCAAGAAAAAGCCACATTAAAACAATAGGAAATTTCATGGTGCTTTTACTCACCCTGGTCCTACCCTCTCCCAGTGTGGCTTGGTTTGGAGAATGTGGTAGCCTGATCCACTGTTCCCTTTGGTGAACCAGAAAGAACCGAATTTACAAGATCTAACCTATCTGTAGGCTACCTGAGGGATTGGTCTCTGTGACATCTAACTCAGAGTTCAGATGACTGAAAGCAGCAGGGATCTCAGGCTAGGCGCAGACACAGGAAGCAGTGGGCATGGCTAGTGAAAAACACAGGGGACTACAGACCATCAGGCTTTGATTGATTGAGGAATACAAAAGGAAAAATAAGGACCTACAAGAAACAGGGGTGAGGCTCTTAGGGGAATTAATAAATTTAAAAGCAGCCAGGTATACAGAGGAATTAGGAAAAAGCACATGCACATGCCCGGGGAAGACGTATGCCTGGAACAGGCCTTAAGCCATCAATCCAGGCAGATTAGTGAAGGTCTTCCACACACAGAGCCAGTCTCTGAAAACATTAGGAGAGATGGCCAGTTTACCAAATGCCCAAGTGTCAACAAAAGATGGATCATAAGGCATATAAACAAAGAGGAAAATAGGGCCCATACAAAGGAATAAAATAAATCTCCAGACACTGTCCGGGAAAAAAGCACAGGCTTATGAGAAAAAGTATAAAACAACTGTCTTAAACACGCTCAAAGAGCTAAAGGAAAACATGGACAAAGAATTGAAGAAAATTGGGGAAATGATATATGAACAAAATGAGAATATGAACAAAAAGATAGAAATGATAAAATAAGAATCAAGCAGGAGTGACGTCAATAACATGGCAGAGTGAGCTGTTCCCTTTGTCTCCTCCACTTCAAACTACAACTAAACGGACATTCATTGATCAGGAGAGGATACTCACACAACAAATCAGAACGCCTGAGAGACTTGCACAGCTATACATCTGAAGGTGGATGGACTAACCCCTGGGGAGATGGTAGAGATAGGTGAGCACTCTCCGGCCCCCAGGCAGCCCTGTACATGCACGGGACTGCTCTCTCAGCTGGAACACTCATAGCACCCTTGCAGCCCCCAGGGTGGGAGCACAACTCAGCGCAACTGCAGGAACAGGTGACTGCAGACCTGAGCCCATATGTGATCGCTTCCCCATCAGGTGGGAGAGCCCACAGTGCCATGCAGTCCACAGGGAGCAGATAAGGCGTGGATCCAGTAGGGAGGCCCCATGCACCAAACACAATGGCTGGTGCAACCTAGGAGCAGACAGTGGCAGTTCTGCTCACCCAGGCAAATGAGCTCCAAGATGTCACAAATGCCCATAGTACTGTTGTGACCCCAAAGGGGGGTATGCAACTTGGCCGGGCTAAGGGAGCAGGCAGCAGCAGCCCTGAGTCCCCATGTGATTGCTCTCTCTCTCTCTCTCTCTCTCCCTCTCTCTCTCATCCAATGGCAGAGCCCACAGTCCCTGTGGTCACAGGAGTGGCTCTGGCTTGGAACCAGTGGAGAGGACCCATCCACAAAGCACAACAGCTGGTGCAACCTAGGAGGAAACAGTGGCAGATCTGCACACCCAAGCAAACGAGCTTCTGGCTGCCGTGAATGCCCATTGTACTACTTCAGCCCCAAAGGGGGGAGCATGTCACAGCGGGACTGTGGGAGCAGGCAGTGGCAGCCCTGAGCCCCTGCATAATTGTTTTCCCGTTCAGTGGGAAAGCCCATAGGACTGCTGTGGTCCCAAGGAGTGACCTAGGCTTGGACAGGCACAGCTGACAGAGATCATGGTGGGCTCAGAATATACAGCTCCTGGCCCCCAACTCATGGCAGTTGGTGGAACCTGAAACCAGATACTATCACTATGCAATGGCACAAATTCATTCCATCAAGTAGTAAGAAGAAATATATTAATAATCCAGACCAGAAAGAAAAAGACAAACACTCAGAAATCACTCTTGAAGGCACAGGAATCTATAATATAAACAACAGAGAATTAGAAATAGCTATCATAAAAAAACTCAATGAGTGACAAGGGAAGTCAGAAAGACAGTTCAATGAAATAGGGAACAAAATTAATGAACAGAGGGAATTCTTCACAAAAGAGATTAAAACTATAAAGAAAAACCAATCAGAAATGCTAATGATGAAAAACACAATGGAAAAGATAAAGAAAAATTTGGAGTCCTTAAATAACACAGCTGATATTACGGAGGATAGAATTAGCAATGTAGATGACAGGAATACAGAAATGTTTCAGATGGAGGAGGTGAGAGAACTAAGACTTTTTTAAAAAAGATGAAGAAATTCTCTGAGAAATATTCAACTCAATTAGGAAA